ATCTTCTGTTAGAGGGACAAAAGCATAAACCTTAGTCTACCAGCCTGTGGCAAACTGGCTGGAGAGGCAAACCTCCTGCTTGCACCTTCAGATGGACTCAAAACAGCTTCCTCCTGCTGGACCAGTACTGGGGAAACTGTTCTCTAGTGACAAGTGGGCAGAAAAGTGGCTGAGTACCACAGCCTTCACAGAGAGATGTTTTCTGAAAATCCTTGAGTAGAGCATGCTGCTAGAGTCAGAGTACCAAGAATATGTGCACCCTGAGAGGTAGCTGTACTTTCAAGACATTAGCCACTTCTGCTTGTGGCTTTGCAAATTCCAACAACTTCAAGAGTGCCTATTCCTGTATTCCTCAGAACCTCTTTTTGGAAATGTCCATGATTCTGTTTCTCCACATGCAAAATAACAGGCTATAATACTCAAAGGCATTGTGAACCTTTGTTGTTTGTCATGTTTTTGAGATCTGTTGAAAGATGCTAAAGTGCAATGCTTTTGTTACTAATAAAGTCTCATATTCCTTTACATTCATAGTGACTAATACATATGGCAATTTTTCTAACTTTAAGCCCAACAAAGGCCTTGATGTCTGAAAGCTGTAACATTTATTTACGTCCCACAGGAAATTAATGTGCGTGGCTTATGAAGCAGTAAATCTGTTATACAGTGTTCTTTTTGACTCATGTTTGCTAATAATTTTATTAGTGCTAGTAACATGGTTATGTTTTATTTCCATTTTTAGCCAATTATGATTATTAGCAAGTATGAATCAAAAGCAAAACTGTTTCATATATATTTTTTCAGTACCCCGACACCCATTGGGAGAAAGATATCCATAGTTATTGAATGAAGGTTGAAACTGAACTAAAGTTTGCATACAAAGTAGAACAGAATAAAAACTGGGAAGTCATTAGTGTCACATTGGCTTTAGAAAACTGTTGGCAACTACTGATGCATTAGGATGACTTATGTCTTGAGCTAACGTTAGATTAGACACCCACTTGATTTCCTGTTTATTTTGCATGCAGCCTCTGCAACTGATACAATCAACTTTAGTTACACTTTATCAAGGCAAGGACAGAAGTCCCTATGTTTATCTGAAGTTGAATCCTACAACCCACTGTAAGAATACTTTTCTGCCCACTTGGGAAAGCTCCAATTTCTGATTTTTTGGGGTGTACTCTCAGGATGCAAGCTATAATTTGAATGAATATACTAGTTACAGTTCTAGTTTCTTAGATTTTCCTTCCAGGAAGGTGTTGAACTTACATTATGGCTCTATTACATTCAAAACAAAACAAACCATGCTAAAATAAATTGAGTTTGCCAAGTCAAAGACTCAGGATGTGGAAAATTCTTTAATTAAGATTGCCCATGTGATTTTAATTGGTCTCCTTTGTGCTCAAGCATCACGAGAGTCTTTAGTTACCTGACCACATGCAATTCTTCCATATTTGGTGAATACTCAAATACATATTTTTTTAATCATCTTTTCAGTCCCTACTACCAAGACTTTATTTACTGCACACCATCCAAACTGTGCTCTAATATAAAACTTTTGGGCATTTATATACGTGCTCTGGGAGTGGTGGTTGTGTTGGGGGGTGGGGCTTTAATTAGAGCTCCTAGAGCAGCTGTAATTAAAGTGCCCGGAGCTTCACATGTATCAGCGTCCCTGTGCTGAAAAATGGCAACGGGGGCACTTTAACTAAAGCTCATTTGATAAGCTTTAGTTAATGTGCCCCTGCCGCCATTTTTCAGCACAGGGACACTGATACACATGATACTGGAGTCCTCGGGAGCACGGTAATAACCACACTCCAGCAGACTCGATCAATCATGTCTGCTCATGTCGGAGCAGCCTTGCTGCATGTCTGTAGGCACCCCTTGATTTGACTTTTGTGTTCCTGTGGTGTTCTTTCCAGAGAACCTGAGTATTTCATACACATTTATGCAGTTATTTTCACAATATCTTGTAAAATATAGTAGTATCATTACTATCATTTTATTGATGGGGAGATAAGGCAGACAGAGATTAAGGCCAGAATTGTCAAATATCCACCATGGATGTCAATCCTGAAACAGGCGCTTGCCCTTTTTTTAAAAGTACTTAGCCAGTTTAAAACAAAACAAAATAGACTTTATTTGCAGTTGTCAATGCTCAGCACTTGAGTTAGTCTGGTTTCTGGTATCTCATCTTAGGCAGTCAAAAATCAGGAAAACAGTAGCCACTTTGAATAGCCTGTGTTAGTGAAGTAACTCAGCTAACAACAGATAGCAACTCTGTGGCAGAGACAAGGATAAAATCCAATTCTTCAGGACAACCTTCAGTTTCTATAACTATCAGACACTCCCCTCTTCTTGCAATTAGAATTCTGTCTCATTCACTACTAGGGCTGTGCAAAGCTTCAGTCGCTGATTCAATTTGGAGGAGATTCGGCCCGATTTGGCAGCCAAATTTCCGAATCCAAATCGAATCAGGAGACCCATTAATCTCTCCAAATCGAATCAGAAGCCTCCAATTTGATTCAGAGAGATTTGACGATTCAGCCATAGATGCAGCTTATGTTTTTTCTATGTACCAGGCGCGGCTCTTGAACGCTGAGATGGTGGAGAGGATGGAGTGTCCCATGGGAGTGCAGGGGTGTCCCCTGCATGCTCAGCAACAGACCCAGAACACTCTTGGCAACTGGTGCCTCCGGGGTCCCCCCATGGCTGATCACTTTGCTGGTGGACCTGGCAGTGGACTGGAAGTACTTCTGGTCCACTTCTGGGTCCGCCACCAAGTGTCCAGGGGACCCCCCCCAGCGGTCCCGTGGGACATTCCATCTGCCCCACCATCTCAGCATTCATGAGCCATGCCTGGTACCTCAAGGTACGTAGAAAAAACATATAAAGCTGTTTCTCCGAATCAGAATTGAATCTTCAGATTCAGATTTGGCCAAATCAAATCAGGACAGTGATCTGAATTAACAAATCAAATCACTGTCCCTCGAATTGGGCCGAATCCGAATCAAATACTGCCCGCTTTGCATACCCCTACTCGTTATACACCTACCATCTTCCCCAGTACACGATCAGAGTCTCTTTCACTACAGAAAAAGTATTCATTTCCAGGGCAGTATCTAATGAATGAGGCAGGGATCCTGGAAAGACAATACGTGATCTTGTATTTAAGACTGCCTCATAATATGGGATGGCTGAATTCTTTTTGGTAAATACATAATACACATAAAACATGCAATTTTGATTAATCCCAAACTATTTGTAAACAAGAACTGAATCACTGAATGATTTCATTTGGAAAAGAATTTGGGACTAGATTCAGATAATAGTGCTAGTGCTCACTTCTTCTCCAGGAGCTGGTGGTGAGGGGCTTCATCCACCATATCCCACGAGTGTCTTTAAATGCACATCATCCACCTACTATGAGAGTGTTCTAACCACAGCTTATAGGATATCTTGTGAGAGCTACTTTCAGGACACATATGCATCACACACTTACTGCACCAGGCAGCAGCACCTGAACGCACTGTACTACTGAATAACAGCATTCATTATTGTGCCTGCAGTGCCATGTAAACAGGTATGTTGTATGCTGTTCAAGAGGTAGCCCACATGGAGCAGCATAGCATATTTGAGGGCATAGCTGCCCAGTATGGTAAGACTGTGACATAGACAGGACATCAATCTTTGTTGCTGAAATGGTTTCATTTTATTTGGAATACTTAAATAATCATCGAGCCAGGGAGAAATGGGAGAACTTTGTAGCTAGGTGGTTAAGACAGGCACCCGGAATGAGGAAGGGCTGGGTTCCAGTTTCAGCACAAACTATTTCAGTATTTTATACAAAATGGAACAGGATTAGCATGAGAGACTGAGACCAGTCTCACCCTGAATACACTACAGCCCTCTAGCACCTCACCTTTCAGGAAAGAGATAGGAAGAGTCAAAACCCCTCGGGTCATGGAGGAATAGATTCTGTCTCCCACATCCCAGATGAGTGCTCTAAACACTAGGCTATTAGTAAAAAGGTAAAAAAACCTGCACCTCTGGTTTTAATATATGGCGCCTCACAGTGCCTTCAGTTCAGCTGTTTTTGTTAAAAATGTGTGAAACGGAAACAAAATCGTTCGTAAGTCCCACTATGAAAGTTCTTGGGATTTCTGGTATAACTCTATTTCATTTTGGTTTGCTCTGTTTCCATCCTAGCTTGATCTGAAGAAAAAATGTTTTTCACTTGATTAGCCAAAACAAAAATTAAAAGTATTCACGTAAGCTTACCTAACCATATGGACAAGGCACAGGCTTCCTTAAGGTACAGACATCTGATTTTGACTGTTTTTTAATTTTAGTTAATTAGCTTCTTGGAAGTAACATCTTTGAAATGTATGGAAAAACAGAATTTTGCCCATGCAGAGCTGTACTGACCACTAACTCAGTCAATATGAACTGGGTTTGACTGATGGGAGGAGTGATCCTCTGTGGCACATCCACTAGAATGGGCTGTGACCTACAGATTTTGCTAGTGCATTTCAGTACTAGTTATTTACTGAAAGCAAACTTCTTTAAAATGTAAAACTACTAGGCAAACTTAATTCTACACAGTGCTACAAGCTCTCAAATAAAATTATATGTTGGAAATAGGAATAAATGCAACACAGTACACATCCTCCTAACTCGTTATAAGTTATAGATTTCCAGGTGATTAAGAGGCAATTTTTTAATCTGGTTTGAGGCCTGGATTACCTATGTGTAATTTAAAACTATATTTTGCACCCCAAGGTGAAGATTCACAGAACACCTGAAAAACTGCACCTCCAAATTAGATGACGGGGGACCAGAATCAGTAGTTAAATATGCAACTACTGATGTTGAACTACAGGCACTAATTTCAACTACAAAAGAAAAGCTTTCTCTTCTGGAAACCTACCTCAAAGCTGTATTAATTATCTGAAAATGCATAGGCACATACAATTAACTTAAAGTCAGGTAGTACCTACCCATTCTGCAGTATGGAGATTTTTCTGGTCTGAAGTTGTTCCATAGCTGGGAAAGATAGTTTGCTCCAGTTCTTCCAAGACTAAAAAAAAGAATACAGACTATAACATTTAAGCTATTTGAAATTTTTGTATGAGTGACTTGGATGCCAAAATACTTGACTTCTCTTCACATTTCTAATAATTTCTTATCCTTGTGCTTCCATACTCTCAATTATAACAGGTCTTGGTTAATCAACATGTTTGAATCTAAACAACTCTTCCTAGTTTATGCATTTGTGGAGTTGCACTGACCAAACCTAATAAAAAAGAATGCCTTCAATCTTTATTGGTACCTCACAAACTCCATGCTCACTGTTCCATACAATAATACATGGTGGAAGAAGGCTTGCCATTAAACCCAGATGCTACTATTCTTACTCACACACTGAATAGCACTTTGTTTGTCAAGTAAACCAATTGACTTTACATGCCTCCAAAGTCAACTGAATATTTATCAAATAAGACATTTCTCTGGCTTGTCTATGCAAGAGGGTTTTTGGGAGGGTAAGAAGAAAGAGACCTGAGCCAGAGATTTAGGCCCACCAGTACAAATGAGTATAGACATACTGCAATAGTGTAAAATGCACCCTTCTCCACAGTGCCATGTCTTTAGTAATTTATACTGATGAACCTACACTGATGCAAAAAAATCCCAGTGTTGACATTTTCTCAATGTGAGAATCTGACTCCATGTGTACCAAGCACAGTGTAACCCTGCCTGAGGTTGACTGTATTTGTTATTCAGTAATAGCTACCATTGCCAGGTAATTCTTATTTTATGTCCCAAAACAGGAATGGTACAGGTAGGAACACAAATTTGTGGTAGGATGTGAATATTCCACATAACTTAAAAGGTAATGCATGCATGCAACATTAATATTCTGTTAAAAAAACTGGTTCCCAGGTTCTAGCAATGTGCTATTTCTTTTCTTTTACAATACAACACAAAATCTAAATGATTTAGTGAAACACAAACTATTCTACATCATATCAGTAGTTGCTTACAGGTGGTAAAATTGGCTGCCAGGTCAAGCACTGGGTAATATATAAGATACCCTAACAAACCTGTTACCAGAAGGCTCATGACGGGTGAATCACTCTCAATGACCAGAATTGCTACCTTGTTAAGAATTCAAAGTATTATCTTTCAGCATCCAAAATATAAAAGTATAGAACAAAACCCACATTTGAGGCTGGAGAAGGGTGGTGGGGTAAAGTAAGACAAATACTGTGGTTTCCCACAAATACCAGATACTTCTTCATGCTATTTTCATCCCCTCTACCTTAAAAATGCAAGAGAATTTTCTGCCAAATATGAGTTTTACTAGGGAAAGAGTTGT